TATATAATTACATGAGCAACATTGTGGTCCCTAGATTCCCCCCATTATCAAGCCCCCGCCACATACCCCATTACAGTCCCTGTCCATCAGTGTAGTAAGATGCTATAGAGTCACTACTTGTCTTCTCCCGGACTGCAGTGATCCTGTGGGTGAGACAGCGGTGGGGAAGAAACTACCTGCATGGGGAGACAGAGTGAGAGGCAGCTCTGGAGCGGGCACGTTCCAGCAGCCTGACGGGCCCTGCTGGTGGCACAGAGCCTGCTGCCTGCACCCCTTCCTCTCTTGTCTTGCTCCTGTCCGTCTGCCTTGGGATCTCCTGGGAGCGCACCTCTTTTCCTGTAGAGCCTTTGGGCTAAGATAAGATGCCCTTCTAGCTTTTCCAAAGAAGATGCTGATTATTTCATTCTGTCTTCTAAATGGTAAACAGAGGAAGTAACTACAAGTAGTTCCAGGCTAAAGGAGACTGTCCTCTCCTTAGGTGTTAGCCCTAAGCTCCCATGCTTAGACAGTTTCCAGGGGCAGGCAGGATTTCCTAAAGACACCAGTCTCCTTGGGCCATCTAGTTCTCAAATAGGGGCAGTGGTGTGGGGATGGGGGCTAACCGTAGACTGGCAATTCTTGAAATGTCAGAGACCAAAGAGTTGTCAACTTCTCTTTTCAGTTGGAAAGAGAACTCATTTCTGGAATGGACTAAATAGGCTGTGTCTGATGTATGAATTGGGTGAGTCTTGCCTTAGTGTGTCCTGCCACCCCTGGTAGGCTCCCAGGGTACATTTTTTTAAAATCTGAAAAGTCACTTTCTTTGGGTGGCCGTTGTCGCCATGATGTCAGTGAGGTATGGGGAATCTGGGGAGTGGGGACAGGCCTAAAACTGGCAGCACAGGCTCTGTGCCAGGGCACTAGGACTCCTGCTGCAGAGGGGCTGCTGTACCCACTTGGAGCCCCATTACCCAATCGTCATGTTACTCACATTCCGTGTTCTGGAACATTGTAGCCACAAGAAGGATCTGGTGGAGGTGGATTTACCCCGTGTTACAAAGGATCGTGTAAAGTCATTGAAGTTGTGAAAGTCTATTTTTTTTCCTCTGTAAATCTATTTTTCACAGAATATAAGACACATCAATGACCTGATCTGTCCTCCTCTTTCCCCTTCAGCTAAGATCCTCATTCCAGTTTGTATTGTCTTTGTGTCCAAAGTAATGAACTAGGTGACTTATTTGTATAAAATGTTATTTTGCCACAAGAGACGGTAATAAAAGAAAGATTTTTCACAGTATGTATACCTGTCTAGTCTCCATACTGAGGCCCTTGTGTTGCCGGGGAGGAGGTGTGGGCTGGGGGTGGGCCCTGAGTTTCTTTAGGTGGCCTTTCTGTAAAAAGTACAGTGAGTATGGCTGGTTTTTAGGGTGCCTGTGGAACAGTATGGGGCTTTAGGTTTGATGATTTCATTTTCCTGGGGGGCTTTAAGAGTTGAAAATGTGTTTATATATTTTAAAGTTTGTTTATTTAGGTGTGCTTTAACTATAGTAAAATTTACCTCGTCTAAAGAGTATAGTTTGATGAGCTGTGACAAGTGTATACAGTCTTGTTACCGCATCACAGACATGAAATGGTATTTCCCTCACCCTGGGAAGTTCCCTCAAAGTCCTGGTGTTGGTGGCCAGTCCCCTCCTTCTACCCCAGCCCCTTTAAAACCATTAATTTCTGTCTCTACTGGAAAACTTGCATCCATGTTTAAGGTCACAAACAATTCAACTTAAAAATAAGTCAGGTTTAGATGGTCTGTGGCACCTGAAGCAATTACTGACCTCTGCCCACAAAAGCCACTCACTCATTTCCCCTTCTCTCCTGCTCTTTGCTTTTTTCTTCAACCCAGGGCTGGTGCCCAGGTGGGATGATACAAAGGTGAGGGAAACCTCAGCATTTGCAAGGACAGTCATTCCTTTGGCTTTAAAGTACTGTGGATTGAGAGGCTTGCTTCTTAAATGCCTTTCTTTTAAATGATAGGTAACATGTTAAGGACTTTTTTGCATCTTTTGATTCACTTCTTCCAGGAGGTAGAGCAAGGTGGTGGGAAAAGACAGTTTTTGGCACATGGGTCAGTGTTGGGGAGAGATGTCTGGCTGAGTGATGTGGTGAGAAAGGCAGTTGGAGGGCTGTGTGGGTGCCTGGGAAGTGTGGATACCTGGGAAGTCTGATTCACACTTATTCTGAGGGAAGGCCCTCGCAGGCAAGTGAAATCGCTGTTTCTTGGAAAGGGTGAAGCTGTCCTGATGAGGATGCTGAGGACCCAGTGTGAGGCCTTAGGGGTACTGCCCCTGCCTCACAACTGGGGGTGAGCCAGATGGGCCGACAGTGAAACAGGGAAGGAGCAGCCCCACGCCCCTTCACAACCTCCAGTGGGGGTGGGGGCGGGGGCATGAAATTGCCCTCCCAGGGAACCCAATTCCCTGGTGTAAGTCCGGGGAGAGAAAACCCCGGGCCAAAATACCTCTAAAAACCGAAATCAGTCGAAGGGAGAAATAGAGTTTAAAATCCGTTTACTGCTTACAAACTGCAGTCCTGGGCCATATCTCTCTCTTGCTCCAGGAGCAGCAAAACAGGCACCCCTCTCTCCTCTCGGGTACGGATAAGCCCTCCTTGCCCAGGTAATTACCGATTGATACAGAGATGAACTACTCTCCACCCCTGAGGAATGATGCAAATGCACTAAAGCCATACTCTTCTCCACCCTGGAGCTCCTGTTGATATGCAAATATACTAAAACCAGGCGAGATATTCTGGAAATATTACAGTTCACCCACATCTGCGCCTAAATACTGAGCACCAGAGCAAGACTTTTGCCTCTCTTGGAGCTCACAGACTAGCGGTGGGCTCCATAGGATTTCAGATTCTAAGTGCCACGAATAAATAACTACATGGGATGGAGAGCGTGTGGTCGGGGCAGGCCTTGGTGAGCGAGACCCGAATGAAAGGGCGCCCCAGGGAGAGGAACAGAGTGCGAAGGCCTGGAGGCAGGAACAGCTCGTGGAGAATCAAGCTGCTTTGTGTGGCTGGCGCAAACACAGCAAGAGAATGGTCGGCATAGGGCCGCAGAGGTGGGCCGGAGGAGGACGCATGCAGCTTTTAGTCCACGGGGCTGGACTTCAGGAGAGGGGCCTGCCATCGAAGAGCTTCACAAACGGAGGGACGCACTTCGACCCCGGAGACTTTGCGCACACGGGTGGGCGCGGCTTTGCCTCCAGGAAGGGAGGCGGGGCTCGGGAGGAGGCGCGGCGGGCCCCGCCCCCCGCAGTCCGGAATCCGCGCGCCCGCAGCCGGAGGTCGCCGAGGAGTCCCGCGCCGGCGCCGTCTCCGACCGCCATGGCCGCCGTGCTGCTCGCCCGGGCCTGCGGCCCAGCCCGCGGAGGTGAGTGCGCTCCGGCTCCGCAGGCCTTGTTCTCCCCGCCGCGGGCGGACGGGCGGCCCTCCCCACCGCCGGCAACGCACGCGGCCTTTGCCCCAGTTCGGCCGCTCCTCGCGCCTGCGCGGTCGCTGCTCCTGCTCTGACACCCACGTCCAGTCCAGTTCCCACCGCTCGGCCGCGTCGCCTCCCCTCCTTCCTCCCGCAGCGGAGGTCCGGGGCGCCCCTCCTCCGGAGCCAGCCCCGAATTGAACCCAGACTCAGCGTCCGTGACCTTGGGCAAGACTTGCAGCCCTGCCAGCCTCAGTTGGCCCCTCTGTAAAATAGCCACAGTCAATGTTACTATTCGCATAGCGCTGTTGTAAGGATCAAATCACAGAGTTTGTTGAAAACACTTTGGACAGTGCCTGGCACGTAACAGGTGCTGCTGGGTAAACGTTTGCTCTTGTTGATAAGTTCATAGAACCTTTCCCATCCTGTCATTTCTGTCCAGCTGTGGTAGTAATGACCTGTGTGGCCAGGGCTGCTGCTGCCTGGTCAAGTCCCTCTCACCCTGAATAATACCACTAAACGGGACCGTCGCGGAGTTTCTCTGCCAGGCCTGTGCTAAGTGCCACTTTAGTGTCTCTAATCCTCCCGCGCCCAGAAGCTGCATGCTGTTGTGCTCCACATTTCATGAAGCTCAGGGAAGATCCTTGCCTAAGATCTCCCATTTTTATTGGTGCTCTTACTTTTATTGGTGTCACACCGACTTTGAGGGGGATGGCCGTATGCAAAGTGTCGAGCAAGCACAGGAGGCGTTCAGTCAGTGTGGTTTCTCACCAGCGGCACTGCGGACGTTTTGGGCTGGTATTCTTTGTTGTGGGGTCTGCTCTGTACATTGTGGCATGTTCAGCAGTCTTCCTGGTCCCCATCCATTCTGTCCCAGTAGCATTCCACTGTTCAGTTGTGTGCAACAACCAAAAATGTCTCCAGACATTGCCAAGTATCCGTTGGAGGGGAAATCATCCCTGATGGAGAACCACTGAGTTAGTGGATCACTGTGATTATTATTATTGCCATTGTTATTATCACATAAGACTTGCCCACCCTTCCACTGCCCCCTGTTCTGCCCCCTGGCAGCTCTCCAATCTCCAAACTGGGCCTGGCGTCAGTTACATACCATCTACCAGTCTGTGGAACTGCCTGAGACTCACCAGATGCTGCGTCAAACGTGCCGGGACTTTGCAGAGAGGGAGCTGGTTCCCGTTGCAGCGCAGATGGACAAGGAACATCGCTTCCCGGCCGCTCAGGTAAGAGTTCAGCCCCTGCAGTTGCTGGTGGTGGTGGGCTCGTGTGGCTCCTGGATATGTGGTGACAGTGACAGCCAGAGGTCTCTCCAGTCAGGGAATCCTGAAGCAGGTCCTGGGACCCAGAAAATGCTCTGGAGGTGTCGCCTGTCCAGCTTAAGGTCTGTAAGCAGGATTAACTTCTGGAATAACAGTAATAGTGATGGGCAGTCATTGTGCTCACTGTGTGCCAGGCATTGTGCTCATCACGGTAGTTAACACCTAGAGAATGCTTCCCACGTGCCAGGCACTGTTCTGAGTGCTTGAGACATGTTATCTCAGCTTTCCCGTGAGGTGCAACACTCGGCTGTACAGTTGCTGCAAGTCTAATCCATGAGCGTCTCAACAATGCGCCCACAGTCATGGAGCTGGTGAGTTGCAGAGCTTGGGTTTGACCCCGAGTCTGTCCTCTGCCAGATCCCAGTCATCATGCCCCTTCCCATGCAACTGTGTTCCATCTGCGTCAGTCCATCTGTAATCACATGTTTAAGAGGTTCCTGCCATATCCCCTGACCTGGCAGAATGTCTGGCAGCTGGTATATTCAGTAGATACTTGTTGAGTAATAACTTGGAAATAGTAAACCTTTCTGGCCTCCTCTCCTCACCGGTTTTTCAGTGTGAGGAATTCAAGAGTTGAGGTCACCGCTGACATGTCTCCTGGGCTCTGGGCCAGTGTTCCAGCTTAGTAAATATTGTGTATTCCTGGTGTATTGGGTGCTGGACCAGGACCGTGGGAAGATGCAAGGAGCTCAACATGGAGATGGCACATGGTGTTCTGGGCACCAAAATCAGTTGGGCAACATCTAGGTATTAAGCATTTAATCTGTATCATTTCATTTAGTCCTAAGGATAATCCTCACCTGTAGATTAAACTCTTCTCTCTCTTCCTGGATTTGCTTGCAAGGATTAGGTGAGATAATGTATGTCAGATTCATGGAAAATGAATTATATTTTCCTAGCCGTTAATGTTGTTATATTTATCACAAATGGGAAAATTGGGACAACAGAGAAGATAAGTGATTTTCCAAGGTTTACTGGTCTGTGGAGCTAGAATTCACACCCAGGTCTGGCTGGCTCCAAAACCCTTCCCCATCCGTGATCCACGTGGCTGTCCCAGAGGCCCAGCTGGCAGGCAGGGGAGCCCTAGTCTCATCAGGAATGTCACTGATAGGGCCCAAGCAGCCCCCTGCCCAGCAGACCCACACACACTGCCCTCGGTCTCCCTATTTGGCATTTGCCTTTCGTCTTTCAGTGCCATTAGCGGAGATGTGAAAAAACTCAAACTTTTTGTGACTAGAGGACTCAAATAAACACATAGGCATTGAAAAGCTGGAGCAGTGTAGAGGCGCTGTCCCCATAGTCCCTACAGCTGTGTCTTGGGGCTTTTCCTCCCAAACAACAGAACACGTGATTTATTTTTCCGATATTCTTATATGCTCTCAAAAATAGATTTGCTCTGGGCGAGATAACTGGGGGTAGGAACACACTTTCAACCTATCTACTCTTTACTCCTCTGGCTGTATGGTCTGCTTGCTTCATGGAGCTGTGGCATCAGCAGGCTAGTCCTCCTCTCTCGTGGCAGAAATGGATAAGGAAGGAAGAGGGCACAGAAGGCCCTGGGCATGGGCCTCCTTCCCCTCTGGCTCGTGGGCACCCCCCACCCCCAGGCAGGATTTGCTGTGCACTGGAGTGTGGCTCAGGGCAGTGACAGCACCTGTGTTTTGTTCCACCCTGGACAAGGGGCTCTCTGATCTGTCATTTCATTAGATTACCATGAGTCCTGCTATTTTATCCCCCTTTTATAGACAATGAAGGGACATTTGGATGAACTCTGAGAGCTGGAGAGCATTTTGTTTCTTTTGCCAAGTATTGAAACCTGGTGGCTCTTTGCTTTGGTCACTGTCTCTGTCCCCATGGCTCCCAGCTCCAGAAAGGAACGCAGGGCTTAAGCAGGCAGAAGGACCAAAGACCTAGACACACAGATGATAGGGCAGGGGGTACAATTCAGAATACTGCCATTAGTGTGTGGAAATAATAATGATTATAGTAACAGGAGTAATACTGGTTTGGGGGTCACTCTTTTCCAGGCGCTTCTGTGTTAAGTCTTCAACACAATACTCTGAGTTCAAGTATCTCCAGTTTTCAGATGCAATAACAGAAGCCAGAGGTCTAGGCTCACAGCTGAAACTGGAGGCGCCAGATGCAGACTCCCGAGCACTCCCCTACCCTGGGCAGCCCAAAGCTGGTGCTTAGTTAGTGATGTCTAGTATTTTTTCCTGGAGAATTTTCCCCCCAGTAAAGTAGATCAATGGAGAGGAGTTAAGGGAAGGAGAGTTGAGAGAGGGCTGGCCAAGAATTAGGTGGAGGGTCAGGGCCAGTTTCTGCGTACTTGGCTGCTCGTGTGAATTTACAGAGCTATTTTGTTTTATAACAAATAAGGTAATAGTGAATAGAATGGTGATTCCAGCTGACTTTGGACTCCTTACCCTGGAAATGCATGAGCGTGTTTATACCTATAAAACTGCACCCAGCTTCTTCCTCCTCACTCAGGGGTGTTTACGACGTTAACTTCCCTGTACCAGGCGCAGAAACCCGCTTTCCTCTTCTTGCCCAGTCTCAGGCGGTGGCGCTAACACTTAGCCACACAGAAACCTCTAGAGTCAAACCCCGTTTTTCTTCCTTCCACGCACTGACCCTTGTTATATCCAAAATGTCTCCTGAATGCCACCTGCTCTCATTTCTCCCAACTAGAATTCATCTCCCTGGATCCCAGGAGCCTTCCAGTGAGAATCCTTAATTCTCTAGTTGACCTGTCACATTCCTGTGCGGGTCTGATGGCACAGTCCTTTCCAACAGCCGGCTCCCTGAAGGCAGGGTCCTTGTATGTCCGCATCCAGCACCACACCCTGCGCTCAGCTAAAGTACTCAACATCGAACAGATGTTTGCAGAATTGTATTGAACTGAACCCCAGATGGTCAGGTATCCTGAGTGTCCTTACTGTCCCAACACCGAGCACACCCTAGCATGTAGGTGGAGACTAGAGGGGCAGCTCACAGAGCCTCTCCCCTGGATAAGCAGCAAATATTCAACAAGTAGGGACCCTTTTCTTCAGAGGGAGTTAGCTTTGCTCTGGTGAGCATAGGCACAGCCTACATAACCAAGTCATGTATGCTAATTTTGATTTTTAAACCTGTGAGCTTTAGAAGCAGCTTAAAGTGTTTTCATATGAAGTACCCTCCAGACGTTTCCCAGACGTGGAGGTGGCAGGTGCTGAAGGCTTGCTGTGTGTGTCGCCGCCAGGAAAGCAGTCTCGCTTGTTCTCACGTCTTCTGGTGGGAGTTTGGAGACCTTGCCCCAGACTCGGCCGCCCAGTGGTGCTGCCTCCTTGTGAGACGCAGGTCTGGGTCCCGGGTCACAGACACGCAGGACCGAGACTAACATTGTGGGTCCTCTTAAGAGGTCTCCCTTGAGAGAGCTCTGGGGGCTCAGGCCCTCTGCTGAAACACCAGGGAGGGGGCTGCTGCTCCTGCTCATGTGGCGTCTCCCTTCCACGGCCCCCCTTTGCCTCTTCCAACTTGCTGGTCTCTTCTTCAGGATATACTTCAGTGAGTGCACGTCGCTACCATGATCGCTTCTGTTTCCAGTTCTTTTCTGGAACGCCCCTGTGGCTGGCCATTGCATACTGCCAGAAATCTAGAGATCTATTTCAGAACGAGAAAGGTCGGGGAAAACAAGCCAGGGTCGCCCTGATGAAATTCCTTGGGGCCTTGACTTGCCCTGACTGTGTGTCCTGGAGGTGCGCTCCCAGCTGTAAGAGGCGGGCGGGGACTCCTTGTTCTGCTCCTCTCTGCCTGGGAATTTTGGTTCCCTTTATTTCTTGGAATGAGATGGGTTGATTGACTAACCTGTCATTTATGCCAAGGTTTTATGAAGAGCTATAGCATGAAGAGAAAGCTGTGCCTTAGTGTACAGGGAAGTTGGGCGGTGCCTGTAGGGGGAGACAAGTGGGGCTTTGTCAGCTCTGTCCAGCTGCTTGGCCAGAGAGAGCCTTTCAGGGAGCTTCCTGCCTGGGCCTGAGCAGGACTTTGAAGGCCTGTGTATTTCTAGCCTCTGCTGGAATGTGGCTCAGGCTCCTAACCCACAACTGGCATTCCCCAGTGAAGTCCCCCTAGAACAGCTGTGTGGGATGCCCCAGCTGTGAGTTCCGTTCTGAGGCCACGCGCGTGCTGGCCCAGGGCTGAGTCTGAGCACAGCGCTGCAGGCGGCCCTCTCAGCCTCGGGCCCCCCGCCCTGAGTTGATTCTGCTGCTGAGGTGACACGGCATTTCTAAGCAGGGCACCCCCCCCCATCTTTCCCTAGGAGTGCCCTGACCACGATCATCCGTCCTTTTAGTGATTCTCAAATGACACCCCTGGTGGCTCTGAGCCCCACTCACCACTGTGCGCTGGTTTACTATTGCTGTTACTGCAAATTACCACAAACTCAGTGGCTTATAACAAAGTTATTAGCCGACAGTCCCTGGAGGCCCAAAATGGGTCTCACTGGGAAACTGAGGTGTTGGCAGGGCTGGGTCCTTTGGAGGATCTGGGGGAGAGTCCCTTTCCTTGCCTTTTCAGCCTCTAGAGGCTGCCTGCATTCCTTGGCTCCTGCCTCCTTTCCAGCCGCGCCCGCCTCACTCGCACCTCTGGTTCCCTCGTCACCCTCCTTCTCTGACCCTCCTGACTCTTCTTTTCCTTATAAGGACGCTTGTGGTGATGTTCGGACCCTGTGGACAATGCAGGACCCATCCGCCCATCTCAGGGCCCTTTGCTGAATCACATCTTCAAAGTCTTCTTTTGCCACATGAAGAAAACGTTCATAGGTCCCGGGGGATTTAGGACAGGATGTCTTTAGGGGGCTGCCATTCTGCCCCCCCCCCCAGCTGTCTCCTCCCCGTGGCTGCAGCACAGTGGCTGTCCAGGGGCTGCAGAGCTGGAGTTGCACTTTCAGGGGCAGTAGCCAAATGCCACTGGGCATTCTGCCCCAGCTTGTTATGCACGGGGGCCCTGAGTTTAAGGTCCACCCCACACTTAGAGTCTTACAAGAGCATCTGACTCAGTGAGGGCAGAGATGGCAGCCTGGAAAAAGTAGTGCTTGAGCTGAGATCTGAAGGGAAGGAGGAGATGATAATTCATTGATAAAGGGCCTTACCAACAGGAAGCAGCATGTGCAAAGGCCCTGTGGTGGGAGGGGGGGAATGTGTGGTGTGCTTAAGAGGCTGAAGGTCAGTTTGGTACTGTGCTGTCCTGCTCCTTGCCTTGGAGGCCCCTGAAGGCTTCCTGTGCCTTCTGCCTGCCCACTGGTTGTGCACACGACGTGAGCCAGCACTGAGTGTGGGGTTAGGATGGCTTGAATGAATGGTGCTGCCATGCATGCCTCAGCTGAACCTGGGTCTTCAGCTTTGGGATCATGGGGTGGGTACACGGGCCACATGGCCTGAGTTTCTATAGACACTGGCTTGGGGAGGAAGGGTCTGGGATTTGGGAGGTGGGCACTTGTCCCCAGCTGCCCTTGCAGTGACTTCCTCCCCCTGGTCAGGTGAAGAAGATGGGTGAGCTTGGGCTTCTAGCCATGGATGTGCCCGTGGAGTTGAGCGGTGCTGGCCTCGATTACCTGGCCTATGCCATTGCGGTGGAAGAGATCAGCCGAGGCTGTGCCTCCACTGGCGTCATCATGAGTGTCAACAATGTGAGTGTCTCTCCTAGGCCCCCAGAGGGGAGGTCCCTGTGGGTGGGCAGGCACTCCAGCCATGGGTCCCCACATCCTGGGCAGAGCCAGGCCTCAGCTCCCATCCTTGACCTCCTCTGAACTTGTGGGTAGGGCTCTGGAGAGAACAGGTCTCGGGGTGATTTTGCAGCTGGGCCCATGCACCTGGGCTTGAAGGCCACCCTCTGTCCCACCAGTCCCTCTACTTGGGGCCTCTCCTGAAATTCGGCTCCGAAGAGCAGAAGCGGCAGTGGGTCACTCCGTTCACCAGTGGTGACAGAATTGGCTGCTTTGCCCTCAGTGAACCAGGTACTGATGTGGGACAGCAGTTGGCCCCTGGCCCCTCTCTGCAGAATCAGGGTGACAGACGGGTTGCCTCTGGGGTAGGGGCCGTTGTGGAGTCTGTGCCAGGTGGCCCAGCTTCTCGGGTACAGGTTTTTGATGTGAGTGCCTGGGGCTGTGCTGGCTGCCTGGGGTCCGCCAAGGAGCTCATGGTTCCCTCAGCCAAGCTGGGAGGGGCATTTGGCTCTGGGGTTCCTTTGGCCTAAAGATGCCCAGCTGCTGTGCACCCTTGCTTTGCCCTCTTGGACCAGAACTTTGGGAGCTGGTGCAGCCCTGGAGCTTTCTCTCCAGAAGCCATGACCCTGATTCTGGGGAGCCCAGTTCTCAGGGTTTCCGTGCACACCAGCTGGGCATGAGGCTGGGCTCCCCGCTGAGTGGGTGACAGTGGGGCGGAGGCGGCGCTGATCTGAGTCTGTGTGTGGGGCAGGGAACGGCAGCGACGCGGGGGCTGCCTCCACTACTGCCCGGGAAGAGGGTGATTCTTGGGTTCTGAACGGCACCAAAGCCTGGATCACCAATTCCTGGGAGGCCTCAGCCGCCGTGGTCTTTGCCAGCACACACAGATCCTTAAAAAACAAGGTAGGACCCCGAGAGAAGGTCAGAGAGACCTCTGGCTGCAGTCATTTCATAGTTTGCAGGTCCGAATCTCCTGGGCCCAGAAGAGCTGTCCCTGCTCGGGGCACCTTGGGGCCACCCCTTTCCTCCGTGGCCTGTGGTTGGTGCCTGCGCCTTCCCCTGAGGAGCCAGCAGAGGGCGACACAGCCTGGGGCCTGGGGGCCGTCGGGGGCGGGAGGGACTGCATGCAGTGTGTCCCGTGTGGTTTGTGTAAGGGCGGTGGCCTGGGGCAGCTTTGGGGAAAACCACTGGTGTGTGGGGCCTTTCAGGGCATCAGTGCCTTCCTGGTCCCCATGCCGACGCCTGGCCTCACGCTGGGGAAGAAGGAGGACAAGCTGGGCATCCGGGCCTCATCCACGGCCAACCTCATCCTTGAGGACTGCTGCGTCCCCAGGGACAACCTGCTGGGGGAGCCGGGGATGGGCTTCAAGATAGCCATGGTGAGCCGGGCAGTGGGGGGGCCTGGGGCCCAGCCGGCCAGCCGCTGACGGGGGGGCTCCCCACAGCAAACCTTGGACATGGGCCGCATTGGCATCGCCGCCCAGGCTCTGGGCATTGCTCAGGCTGCCCTCGATTGTGCTGTGAACTACGCCGGGAACCGCAGGGCCTTCGGGGCACCGCTCACCAAGCTCCAGGGCATCCAGGTAATGAGGTGGAGGCTGTGGGAGGCTGGAGGGAGGGAACTCAGCCTTCCCTTGAGCTTTTACCTGCTCCCATATCCCTCCAGTGAGGGAGGGGCAACTGCTGATGGGTGGCCCGGGGCTCCGTTGCAGTTCAAGTTGGCGGACATGGCCCTGGCCCTGGAGAGTGCCCGGCTGCTGACCTGGCGTGCTGCCATGTTGAAGGATAATAAGAAGCCTTTTACCAAGGTGTACATGGGGAAGGGGGTCCCCCAGGCTCTGGTCCTTTGGTGGGCCCAGAAAGGGAGGGAGAAGTTTGGGTGGGGTCCCAGTTCCCTGGGCAGATGGGTTTATTGCTCCAAGTGGAGCAGCCCCTGGTGAGGGGCCCTCTGCTGGGGGCTCCCCCCAAGGTAAAGTTTCTGACCCCGTATATCCCTGTGGTTAGGAGTCAGCAATGGCCAAGCTGGCTGCATCGGAGGCTGCAACTGCCATCAGCCACCAGGTGAGTGTCTCGGGTGCAGAGTACAGGGACAGGGCACCTGGGCGAGGCTGTGGGGGCTGAGGAGCTGAGAGCGTGCCAGCTGCCCCTCCCCTGGCTCGTCCTGCCCCGTCTTTCCCCACAGGTTGGGGGGTTTCCTCCCTCCTCAGCCCCTGCTTTCTGCCTTAGGCCCTCCAGATCCTAGGTGGCATGGGCTACGTGACAGATATGCCAGCTGAGCGGCACTACCGCGATGCACGCATCACCGAGATCTATGAAGGCACCAGTGAGATCCAGAGGCTGGTGATTGCTGGGCACCTGCTCAAGAGCTACCAAAGTTGAGCCTCCGCAGGGCTGACCTGTACCCAACCCTGGATCAGCTGGCCTGAGTTCCGTGGGCAAGGGGGTAGGAGCTACGTGGCCTAAACTCTGACTCCCTGAGAGACTGGGGCTGATGGGAGGGGCCATTTCTCCTCTTGCCAGGAGCACCCTGGCCCCAGTCCTTCTGGTGTGGCCTCACCTGCCACCCCCACCTCTGCCCACCCCAGACCTAACTGCCTGGGCTGAGTCTCAGACACAGGGACGGTGGGGCAGTGACCTGCGGCTGAGGAGCACCCGTCTTTAGCTCTGCTTCCTGGCTTCGCTCCATGTTCACCGCTGTGCCTTAGTTCCTTCATCAGAGTGGACATGGCCTGGAGGTAGGGCTGTGGGAAGGGCTAAGTTACCATTTTGGGACCCCACAGCTCTGTTCCGGGGGCCCTGGGTCTCAGCAGGAGACCAGTGGGACAGGCTCTTGGCAGCGTCTGCTCCCTGAGTTCAGGTGTCAGGATGGGGAGTTGGGGTTGGGCAGAAGGACCAGGCCTCAGTAGTAGAGGCTACGGTCTCTAGGCCTTGGGGGCTGGGTCATTAAGGCAGCTCAGAGCCCCTTCAGCCCTCTCTTTGTAAAGAATAAAGTGTGTGCAGCTGGGTGGGCTGGCTCATGCCCTGGGACAATCAAGTGTGGGGACTGATTGTGGATAATAAAGCGTATCTGCCCTGGTGTTCCTCTCACGCGCTGCTGGGAGGGAAGATAGTCCTCAGTCGGCTCCCTGACATCCCGCAGAGTGAGTGAGTCCGTGTTGGTTAGGCTGAGGGCGATTGGAGACCCCTTTCTGCTCTGGAGGGTCCCCAGCACCAGCAGGGTTGACTCGGTTCTGGGGAATGAGGAGCTGGGCCTGGAGGTGGCTAGGTGGCCAGGTTAGTGCTGTCTGGGTGGCAGACGGGTCAGGGCCTTTGGCCCACAGGGCCTTGTCCCAGGGATGCTGCTCGGTGGGCCCAGCCTCCAAGCCGGAGGGAGGAGGGTGCCAGGGGCACGGAGGTGGGGGGAGAGGATGCGGATGGAGCTGGGAGGCTAAAAGCAGCCCTCCTGGACTTGGTGGGCCAGCACTGAGCTTGCTGGTGAGGGGCCCTGGTGCCTCTGAGGCAGAGCCCATGCTCTGAACCACTGTTGCCCCAAGTAGTGACTGAAGCAGCTGGGAGAGAAAGGTGGGGACAGCCCTCTGCAGAGCGGTGGGGGTTGGGGAGGCTGGCCTGCACTGGAGGAAAGGGGGGCTGGGGTGTGACTCCTCTGGAGCCACCATCAAGTGGGCGCCGAGCAGCGGGCCAGTGTCGTACCCCCAAAGGAAGCTGCCTGGTCTGGGGCTGCCGCAACGAGGGGCTTGAGGTGCATCACTATGGCGGCCTGAGGGCAGCATCCGGCTCTGCAGGGTGGAAGGGAGCCCGCTGCACCATGCAGTGTGCTGGTGGTGGGTACCCAGGGGTGCTGTGGACCCTCTGCCAACCAGCCGCACCTGCGGTGGAAGCAGGTTCCCTCTGCATTGCTGACAGTGGGCCGGGCAGCGGCGAGGTCTGGGTGGCCTGACCAAGTCCTGCTGCAGGTAAGGCCCAGGAGGGCCTACCCCAGCGGCTCCCAGCTCGCACCCCTGTGGTGCTCGTGGCTCTGCCTGTGTCCCAGCCTTGGGCTTCAGGGCAGCCAAAGGTGCGGGGATCTGGGTGGGATGCAGGGTTTCTTCCCAGGGGCCAAGTTTGACCTACCCCTGCCTGGGAGGCAGGTGGTCTGTACTCTCTGAGTCCCAACCCATGAACAGCTGGGGGGGAGTGTTCAGGGGGCTCCCTGACCAGTGCTCCAAATGGGGGGATGGGGTGGGGGTGGGGGACAGCTTTGAGGCTCAGAGGGGACCAGTGGAACCCAAAGTGGGCCTTAGCCCCTGGGGCAGCCAGGCTGGGAGCCAGGCCCAGACACCGCCCCTCCCGGCTTGGTACTCAGGCCCGCCTGCCCTACCTGCTGCTGTGCGGGTCTTGGAAGGGCCACTGGGCGACTGGCCAGAGCCACACTGCTCCTTAGGGCAAATGGTGTCAGGGCACAGGCCTGTCTTCCAAGCCTGGCTCTCTGCCTCTCATAACTGTCTGGGCCTGACTCACCCCCATGGGGAGGATCCTCACAGCCTCGGGGCTATGTTGTCTCCCACGTTCTAAGTGAAGGCCCAGAGCTCTGAACCTCTGCACGGCCTGCCTCATGGGGCTGTCCAGGTGGGCGGTCTGTCCCTCTACCCTGTGGGGAGTACGGGTGGGGGGTGGCCACCTCAAGGACCTTGGTCTTGACAAGGAGCAGGCCTCTGCCTAAGTCCCCTGACATTAGAACTCGATGCTGAACTGTGTCCTGGGTCCTTCTGAACCTGAACTGTTCATTCAGGTCGGTCACAGACATCCTGTTCCTCTCCCCCAGCGTGCATCTCCTAGGAACACGGCAGGACAGTTAGCAGCTGGGAGGCGTGGCCGTAATAAACAGTCCATCTCAGTCACAACTGGCCAGTTGTCTCAGTGTTTCTCCATTTTTTTCCTAAGGTCCAGGGTTACATGTTGCATTAGAGGCAAGGTCTCTTGTCTCCTTCACACCAGGGTAGTCCTCAGACTGAAGCAGTTTTTCATGACACTGGCTTTTTGCTGTATCTAGGCTGGTGGTTGCATAGAGTGGCCCTCAGTCAGATGTCTCTTCGTGATTAGCTTCATGGTATGTGTTTTTGGCAGTGACTCCCTATTTTACTCCTGACTTGATTATTAGTATTTTATCTTTTTCTGATTAAATTGAGGTTTATCAATTATTTCAGTTTTTCTAAAGAACCAGCTTTTGGTTTTACTGCCTTTTGGGATTGTGTTTTTAAAGTTATTTTTATTTGGTAGTTTTGTTTCCTTCTATGTTTGGGTTCACTTTGCTGTTCTTTTTCCGGCTTCCTGGGATGAATGCTTGTTGATTTTTCCATCATCTCTTGATGAATTTAAAGTTATACACTTCTTTCTCTAAGCATGGCTTTAGCTTCATTCAATCAATTTTGATATATTGTATTTTCACTATCACTGAGTTTCACGTGCTTTCTCTTTGACCCATCAGTTATTTAGAAGAGTATTAACTCTATTAACCTGTAGTTTTCCTGGTACTTTTGTTACTGGCTTTTTAAACATTGTGTCAAAACACTCATAAGATAAAATTTACCATTTTAACCATTTTTCTCAAAAGATGTACAATTCAGTGGCACTTAGCACATGTACAACAGTGTGCAACTGTTGCTAGTTGGCACATTGCGTTTTGTTTCTCCAATTCTTGTCTTCTCCAAGGAAAGAACTCAATCTAGTGGCCAGATAGCAAGAAAAAGAGTGAGGAATTCACTAGATTAAAGCAAAAAGTACACTCTGGGGACAGAAGGGTGGCCTGTCCGGAACCAGAGGTTGCCTCGCTATTAGGGGTCCTTTGGCTCCTATTTTTTCGTAAGGTGGCAGGAAGTCCTGCCCTGCGTCTTATGTCTTTTGATTGACAGCTCTAGGTTACAGAACCCCTTTTTCAGTGCACAGGCACTACGAGTACCTAAGTGAAGCCTACAATGGGGCCCAAACTGCAACGCTAAATAGATTTTGATGTTACTTAGTGAGGTGGGATTACGTTCAGACAGGTCTTTGGACTTTGCTCATGCCTTGTGGTCCGGGGCCTCGTGACAATCCAGGTCTCTGATTGTCTGGGCCTCCTGATAAGCTAGGCACCCTTGACTGTGGAACTGGGAGCGGAGCAGGGCTTAGGGGCTGATCAGGGCCGAGGTGGCTTTGCCGGTGGGCTGGCTCCTCCTCTTCTGTCCTGACTGCCAACTCAGCACAGTCGCCACCACTCTCAACTCCAGAACATCGGCGTCATCCTGAAAGGAAACTCCGTACCCATTGTTACTGACTTTCACCTTTACTGCAGTACAGTCTCAGAACATTTTGGGCATTAAGTTCTTGAAATTTGTTGAGATTTGTTTCATGGCCCTAAATCACTTTCTATAAAAAGCAACTTCAAGAGATCCTGTTTTCCACTTTGATACGTGTAGCTCTAGTTCACGAACTTCAGTTGCCGCATGGTGTCCCGTTGTGTAAATATGCCACATTTAGGTAGTTCCTAGTTTTTCACTGTTATAAACTGTGGTATAGAGAACATTCTGGAATGTATCTCCTTGTTCATGTGTTCAGAATTTACGAGCATTAAGTAGGGCCTACAAGCATTAAGCTGGGCCTTAGGCTGTTTGTTTCTTCAGCTTTACCAGATACTGCCCCCCGAAATGTGACGAGTACTCTTGAGTTCCTTTTTTCACTTCACATTTTTCTATGTTAGTACATTTAAACAACTCATTCTTTGTAACTGATTAAAAAAATTTTTTTTATTAAGGTATCAGTATATACAATCTTATACTCAGGTTTCAACATTGTGGTTACTACATTCCCCCTATTATCAAGTCCCCCCCCACACCCCATTACAGTCACTGTCCATCAGTGTAGTAAGATGCTGTAGAGTCACTACTTGTCTTCTGTGCTATACTTCCCTCCCCGTGCCCCCCATATCATGTGTACTGATCATAATGCCCCTTAATCCCCTTGTCCCTGCCTCCCCACCCACCCTCCCCAGCCCCTCTCCCTTTGGTAACCTGTAGTCCATTCTGCTGCTGTTTTGTTCCTTCAGCGTTTGCTTTGTTGTTACACTCCACAGATGAGTGAAATCATTTGGAACTTGTCTTTCTCCACCTGGCTTCTTTTAGGTGGAGAAAGACAAGTTCAAATGCAGGCAAAGTAACTGATTTTAAGCATTCAATTCTGTGGTTGTTTTCACCTCCAATTCTGCCACATTGCTCTCCAATTTTCACTCCTACCAGTGTGCCAGGAGGCACCTGTCTCCCTACATCTTTCCCAGCACTAGACATTGTCAGGCATCTAATTTTTGCCAATTTAACGGGTGAAAAATGTGACCATATTTTGTAATTTTTCAGGGAATTTAAGCATATTTTCAAATGTTTATTAGGCCTTTTCCTATCCTATGAATTTATTTTTCATATCCTTGACCCATTTTTTTCTTCCTGTTTTTCTCCTGTTTTGTTAGCAGAAGTAATAGTCTGGATAGTAATACTCCCTGTTGGTTTCAGACAGTGCAGGCACCTCCTCGTGGACTGTGATCTCTGTTCACTTCACTCCAGAGTTAACCCCTCACGCGTTAAGCAGTTCCTCCCCACTCCCCCCTCTAGCCCTGGCAACCACCAGTCCGTGGACTTATCTAGTCTGGACATTTCCTCTAAATGGAGTCACACGTACATGACCTTTCGTATCTGGCTTGTTGCAGTTAGCATAATGTTTTGGAGGTTCGTGCATGTTGTAGAATGTGTCAGTACTTCATTTCTGCTTATGGCTACATAATATTCTCTCATTTATTACATTTGGGTTGTTTCTTCCTTTTTGGTTATTATGAATAACACAGCCATGAACATTCATGTATAAGTTTTTGTGTGGGTATGTGTTTTCACTTCTGCATATCTAGGAGTGCTGGGTCATATGGTATCTACATTTATCTTTTTGTGAAATCCTTTAATACACAAACTAACCACAAGAGCTTCCACATAGCAGCAAGGGGATGAGGCAGGGCAGGAAGAATGGCAGAGGAACAGAGGGGTTTCCAGGCCTTTAGCAAGTTAAAATTTCCATCTGTTCCTA